ATAGTGGCTTTTAGCTCTTCTGAATTGTTGGGTCTGGTGTATTGCATCTTCTTCTTCACAATACCCCATAGATTTTCTATGGGGTTAAGGTCAGGAGAGTTTGCTGGCCAATTAAGAACAGGGATACCATGGTCCTTCAACCAGGTACTGGTAGCTTTGGCACTGTGTGCAGGTGCCAAGTCCTGTTGGAAAATGAAATCTGCATCTCCAAAAAGTTGGTCAGCTGCAGGAAGCATGAAGTGCTCTAAAACTTCCTGGTATGTGGCTGCGTTGACCCTGGACCTCAGAAAACACAATGGACCAACACCAGCAGATGACATGGCACCCCAAACCATCACTGACTGTGGAAACTTTACACTGGACTTCAAGCAACGTGGATGAAGTGCCTCTCTTCTTTTCCTCCAGACTCTGGGACCTTGATTTCCAAAGGAAATGCAAAATTTACTTTCATCAGAGAACATGACTTTGGACCACTCACCAGCAGTCCAGTCCTGTTTCTCTTTAGCCCAGGCAAGACGCTTCTGACGCTGTCTGTGGTTCAAGAGTGGCTTGACACAAGGAATGCGACAGCAGAAACCCATGTCTTTCATACGTCTGTGTGTGGTGGTTCTTGAAGCACTCACTCCAGCTGCAGTCCACTCTTTGTGAATCTCCCCCACATTTTTGAAGGGGTTTTGTTTCACAATCCTCTCCAGGGTGCGGTTATCTCTCTTGCTTGTACACTTTTTTCGACCACATCTTTTCCTTCCCTTCGCCTCTCTATTAATGTGCTTGGACACTGAGCTCTGTGAACAGCCAGCCTCTTTAGCGATGACCTTTTGTGTCTTGCCCTCCTTGTGCAAGGTGTCGATGGTCGTCTTTTGGACAACTGTCAAGTCAGCAGTCTTCCCCATGATTGTGTAGCCTATAGAACTAGACTGAAAGACCATTTAAAGGCTTTTGCAGGTGGTTTGAGTTAATTAGCTGATTAGAGTGTGGCACCAGGGGCCATCAATTTTGAACCTTTTCACAATATTCTAATTTTCTGATATGATGAATTTGAGATTTTCATTTGTTGTAATTTGTAATCATCAAAATTAAACAAAATAAACATCTGAAATATATGAGTTTGTATGTAATGTATGAATATAATATACAAGTTTCACTTTTTAAATGGAATTACTGAAATCAATCTACTTTTTCATGATATTCTAATTTTATGACCAGCACCTGTATAATTTAAAGCAGCTGCAGTCCAGAGTGTCCTGCTTCCACAGACATCAGACGGTGTGAATTATTCTCCCTGACATGAGTAACCTAGAAATTAATAAAATTTAGCCACTGATAAAGAAGGTTTTTTTTTTGTTGTTGTTGCTGCTGCTGCTTTTGTTTTACTTGATGAAAAAGAAACAGAATGAAAGGGTCAGAAAAAGACCACACCACCACCATATGTCATTTTTTCAAGTGTTAATTTTTCATAGACTCATTAGATTGCCTCTGATCTGACTGTTTGTTCGTGTCTGTAATATTTTCTTCTAGCATTGCAGCCTGATCAGCCGTGTGTTACATCAGCGCAGGGCTATGAAGTCTCATACTAACTTTAAGCTTTGAGGGTTTTTTTTTTTTTTTTTCAAAAACAGAATAATTCAAACCAAAAGAGAACTGATAAATGTGGGAAAAATAATTATATCTAAACCTTAGCCATGAAAATAAATGTGATAATACCAAGCTCCCATATGAAAAATAACTACATGTAGAAATAATGCTTAACTGTGGCTTATGTTCTTTTTTTAGTGATTGCGATAGATGATTAAACTCATCAGATAATCGATTAAATGCTAAGATTAACAATTAATAAATGGTAAAACTGATCTTTATTGTATTCATCAGGGCTCCAAATGTTCCCAAATGGAGTTAGTCTAATCTCACTGAAGCTAATCTGAATATAAAGTTCAGCTTTCCCAATTCTTAGATTGTCAGTTCAGATGTATGTGTGGCTTATTCTCAAAATTCATATTTTATTATGAATTCACAAGTGTTAGCTAGAAGTCATAGTTTTCTTCAATGGTATTTTAAGGTAATAATGGACAAAAGTAGAACGGGATATTTTAGTTATCAGAAATGATCAGTTTTAGTCTGTTAAGCGGTCTACTTTTAAGACTAGGTTTAAAACTTTACTTTTTTCCCCCCTTTCCTAGACAGAATTAAATGTGGAGCTAGTTTACTGTTGCCTTTTCTATCATAGAAATGATTTACAAATCAGGACATCTTTACTGATGTCCTGATTTGAGGCCCAGTCGGCCTCAGCAGAAGGCCTCTCACACTGAGCCTGGTTCTGCTGGAGGTTTCTTCCTGTTAAAGTTGAGTTTTTCCTCTCCACTGTTGCTGTATGCATGCTTAGTGTGAGGGACTTCTATTGTCAGTGACACAATACAAGCGAATACCTCCTGTCACCACTAGATCAAACAGGTGAATCTTGCAAAGTCAATGAGTTGATGCAATCAGCTGGTTTTCCTTAATTCAATTGAATTCAGTTTATTTATATAACGCCAATTTTACAACACGTCATCTCAAGGCAATTTACAATTCAACCAGATCATACAGGCTCAGTGTGAGCGGCCATTTGCTGAGGCTGACTGGGGTTCAAGGAGACAGAAGCAGAGATACAAAAGGCAACTGTAAAAAGTGACCCCGTCCAGGAAACACACAGCCAGGCAGACGAGCTCCGAGCCAGCTCCCATGTTAGAGGATGAAGAGAGCACATCCAGTTAGTCACAGTCAGAGAAACAGGACTACACTGGAAAACAGGCCGATCTCCAACATCTATAACAAAGGTGTTGATGGCAGCAGCACAGCTGATATTTCTCTCCAGGATGGAGTCACAGCCAAACAGGAACAGAACAGATGAAGCTACTATGAGAAAAAGCAGAGAGAGCAGAACGTTAGAGATTGAACTAACAGATTCTGCAGAGTGGGAGAATAGAGATAGAATGAAGCAGATTGATGAAATAGGGGTCCCTATGTCCTCCAGAAGTCTAAACCTATAGCAGAATAACTATAGAGATTTTTAGAAATTCTAGGAACCACTAGTAAACCTGCAGATTGCGAGCGAAGTGCTCTGTTAGGAACATAAAGAACAATCAGATCTCTGATATCAGATGTGAGATATGTGAGAAGGAGGATTTTAAATTCTATTCGGATTTAACAGGAGGCCAATGAAGAGAAGCCAGGATAGGAGAGATATGATCTCTCTTTTTAATTTTCATCAGAACTCTGGCTGCAGCATTTTGGATCAGCTGAAGGCTTTTAACTACAGTTTGTGGACTTCCTGATAGTAAAGAATTACAATAGTCCAGCCTTGAAGTAACAAATGCATGGACTAGTTTCTCAGCATCGACCCTTAGAGAACCAATCTTGAATGTATGATCTGACTTAATTGTCTTTCTAAAGTGCAATGAGTTGATGTGTTGTGAATTGGCGCTATATATATACTGAAATGAACCTTGTGTTACAATTGATACTCATTTCGTATTGCTATGTAGTTTGCGGGTAATTTTTTCCTGCCGTCTACCTGTAAAATGTGACTATAACCTATATTAATGGAATCCAGGTCTTTCATGAGCTCCATATTCAAGAAGAGTCACTAAAACAGAACCTTCTCTAGTGTTACTCATGCTCTGCTTCCTTTGCTGTGAGGTCAAACGCTTACACATAGCTCTCTACACTGGTTGTTCACTCCATACAAATCTGCAGTGAGTAATGACTCATTTAGCTGTTTGGTCCTCGTTTTCGCTTATGTTACCATTTTCTCAATTTTATGTCCCATAATGTTCTCTCATGGTGGTTTTAGTTATTGTCTAAGATATTAGAGGTTCTAAAAGTCATTTATGAGCTCTATAAATTTATTTTCATCTCTGACCCCCAACCCAATGTCTAAACCTTTCCAAACATCCCAATATGAACATACACTAGAGGCTTTTCAAAGTAAAAGTGCCTCTCTATGAATGCAAATGGCGTTAAAGTTTGTCAAACATTTTTGTAAATTAGACATTCCTTATTTCCAGCATTTATTCCTTGTAATACTACTTTCACTAATACTAGTTTACAAAAATCAATATTTTGTCTCCAAAAATATAATTACAAAAGCACCAATTTATTTTTGGAAACTAAATCAAATACCAGTCTGTTTACATTTTATTATTGCTGCACTTTAGAAATGGAAATGCCTTGAGAGCTGTACTGAAGGAAATTTCATTTAGTATACATGCTGTGGGTTCAAAATGACAATAAAGCCTAAGTCATTTGTAAATATTGTCTAATGACCATATTGTGATCTGCAGAATGTTGGGGAAGATCACCAATGACACAAATGTTCAGAAGACATCAAAAGGGGACAAAAATGTTTCCTTGATTTGAATTCTTGAATCCTAAAATGACTGACGGAAATTTAAAGAACCCTAAAAAAAACACACAGTATTAAGAGGTCCTCTCTTCTCCCCCTTTGCTGCATTTACTGACATTTTCTTCTGCATCTGACGTCGCAGAAGTCAGACTTCCAGCAAAACTTTCCGAGATAAAGAGCCATTTAACGTTAAAGGGGCTCGTTTATGTGAGAAACTGAACCTCAGTACCAGAGTAACCTAATCGTATGTTGAAACAGCAAACTGTAGACTGCCCCCAGGTTAGTGACAGACTAAAGGGAGATATGCATGTACAATTGGTTATGAAACAGAGCTAAAAGTGGTGGAAAGTTACTTAAAGCTTTTTAATTTCCAAATGATAACATTGTAAGACTGATCATAAAGTCTAGAAAATAGCAAGGTGCTGCATGATACAGAGGCTTAAGGGGAGAGGAGGAGATGAGACTGCAGTAGAGAAGAACGCAAAGCAGAGAAATGGATTGAGTTTGTTTATTTACGATATACATTTATGTCAGGCACAATAATATAAGCATTAACTATTAATTCAAACTATTCATAAATTCAACTATTAATTTTTTATTTAGTTCTCAAAATAAAAAATCCACAGCAAAGTTTTATTTCATTCGGGGTTTGAACCGAACAGAGCAAAAGCTGGGGAAACAATCCACTGACATTTCCTTTTGAAAGAAAACCCGTCCAATAACCTCGCATCACTCCTGCTGGAGTTCAGGTGTTATCAGCAAAGCAAAGGCTCGTCTGAAGGAGACCAGCAGCAGGATCTCAAAGCGTTTGCTGTGGACCAGCGTATTGCTTTAAAGCAGAGACCTGCATGACCCTGCAAACCTTACAGCTCCATCCCACAGCTTCAGTTTGAAAAAAAATAAAAAATACAACAAAAACATAGATCACAAATAAAAAAAAAAAAAAGCGTTTTTTTTTTTTTTTTTAAAGCTCTATCTTTTGAGAAAAAAAAAAGTTTGTTTCATAAAGATTCTGCTATAAAATCTTAGTGTTCAAGGACAAGAAATACAAAGTTTAAAGGCAAGCCCTACACTGAAAAAATTGATCCCCTTATATTGAACGCATTCAGAATGTGGAGAGGTTTGGTCTTACTGAAGTAAACGAAAGTTTCACAAAGTACTGACGCACAATCGGCCCTTTCTGTCGTCCTCTGGGCTCCTCATGACTGAAAGGAATTTGGAAATCTTTAAGAAAAGGTACTAGAGTGACTGGATGAGAGGTTTCAGCTACATGTAGCAGTCATGGTTAAAACGGGAGGAACGACAGATTTAGAGACAAAATTAAACCGCTCAAATGTTAATGCAGTGAGACAACTGATGAGTTTAAAGTCTTAAAGTGGCTTCAGAACAATATTCTCATATTCAAAGGGTTAGTTTGACTAAAGATAGTGAATTATGAAAGAAATATCTTACTAATAACTCCAGATTAACAGTTACTACTTAAAATAAAAAGCACATTTTGCATAGTTGATATTTGCAGTCTGTCAAAAACAGAATACTTTTACTTAAAAATGGGTTTGAAAAACAGAAAACATGGTCATAAACACCTTGAATTACTCCCTGTATCCACTTTCTTCTCAGTTACATGAAAAAAACAAAACAAAAAAACAATATCCTGTCCAGTTTGTTTCATCTCTAACTGCACTTTCTACCAAAGACACAGTTAATGCAGCAGATTAAAGCACATCTGAATAATAGGCAGTGGAGGAATAAAACGGGTCGACGGAGAAGCTGAACAACCAAATGACAGCTGTTCAAGTTGACTCAATAAAAGGCTCCATCTATCTAAACTGTTGGGTTACAAACGCTTGTCCTCCTGGGGAGGGGAGGGGGGTTCTAGATGCTATCCATGGCTTTGAACTCGCTCAGAGCCTGCACAGGGTTGACGTGCTTCTTGTGAGAGGATCTCTTGACTCGGTTGGTCTGCCCGTCATCCTGCTTCTCTCTCTTCACCAGCGGCTTCTTCTCGGGAGCTTTCATTCTCCAGGAGACCGCTGGCATGTTGAGGGCCTCCATGTTTTTGTTCTTTTGGTACTTGGTGGAGGCGACGTAGGAGGCTTTGACAGTGGACACCACGGCGTTCATCAGGTTCTTAGCTGCCTGGATGAGGGACATGGCGCTGTCCAACTGAACACAGAGAGAGGAGAGAATTCGGCATCAAGGAATTGTTTTTGCACCGTTTGAATTCATGTGAAATAAAATATATAGAGGGAAGTTTTATCTGCTGTTGTTGCAAAAAAAAAGACGTCATTTTGGAAATGGACATTTGCTTATTTCTTATTTCATGTTTTGATTTTTTTCATTTTTTTTTTTAAAAGTGTCAAATAATTTTCTCAAATAAAAAGATTTAAGCAGATTTTATTTTTGAAATTCTTATTTTCTTCCAAATGTCTCTTTCAGACTGAGGTTTATGAATTGGATGATTTTCAGAATGCATTTACGAATCACGGGCGGACTTTCCAAACAAACACTCGTTGCTATCGGTCTGCAAAAACACATTTTTATTGGTAAATTTGTGCATTCAGAGGGAGGGTTATGATTTGTAAAAATACAATACGAAAAGAATATCATTTAATTTAAAAAGGGGAAACATTTGAGAAAAAAATTAAAATATTAAATTAATAAAATAACATTATGTTATTCTAATGAATTGAAAGAAAATCTGAATTTTTTTTTTCTAGGTTGGATTTCTTACATTTCCTTAGAAAAATGCATCAATAATTGACCAAAGTTCACTTCATAAAAAGCATCTTTCAAGTCTTCTGGTTTTGGGCCAAAAACTTAACCTCACACATGCAGTGGAGGATCCTTATCTGGCGAGTTTCAGAATATTTAAAAAGGTCAAACTAATTTAATCTGCTCGCTTAGCAGCTCCAGAGACACAAGCGACGCTTAAAAAGCCGGAAAAATAGTCTTGTCCCTGTTCGTTCAGGAAAAAGGGCAAAAATCCTAATTTCCTACTCACTCGGGTACAGCTATGTAATCCTTTTAAACTGGGGAGTAAGTGGTTAATTATCGCTTCAAGGCGTGCGAGCGCTGGCTTCAGATGCTGCTGAGTTACAAGGTGGAAAGGTTAGCAAACATTTGCTGAACACGAACAGACACGTTGGAGACATTTATTCCATTTCCTGATTCATTCAAAACTGCGTATTACAGCTGAGAGTAAATCAGCTCTGACACCCAGCAGCCAGTGTCATCAAGTTCAGCTTTTCTCATGGATTTGGGCAACAAATTAAACTTCAGTAAACATTGCATTCAATTATTTATATTCCAGTAGGAGTGGAAGGAAAAAAAATAAGGGTTCAACCATGAAGCCTTAGAAAAATACTGACGGTTCTCTTATGGAAAAAGCTGCAACATTTCATCACTTTTCAAACTATGCAACTGTCATCTGTATTCATTAAAAGTTGTTAACCTATTTCAAGTTTTTCTTTAGCAAACAACTAAATAGAGGTTTGTTTTAGATAAAAAGTTGTGCTTACCCCAGAGACAACCAGCTCTCCTCCCAGGTTCTGAACCTCAGCCTTGACTTTGCTGCAGATGTTGAGCTGGTGGCAGTACAAGGCAATGCGCTGCAGGTAGGCCAGCAGATCCTGCTTGCAGGAAGAGTCGGGACACTATGGGACAGACAAAAAAAAATACATACGGTTAGAAGTGTTTAAAAGCATGTTTACACATCAGTGAATTCATGCATGTTCTGCTGGTAAAGATGGTTTCAGCTGCTTTTATCACAGAGACAATAATCTATATATTTGTGTTTCTTCATTCATTTCTCTTTATCAGGATAAGATAGTAGCAGTGTGACAGGTAGACACCCCCGCTATGAACAAGCTCAGAGTCACAATGACAAACAAACGCCCACAACCTGCTGTCTTTGTCTTCACAAGGTCGCATTGTGATCACTTAACACGCAATGCAAATTAAACGACTGGGCAAAAAGAGCTGTCAATCAGCTGCTGGTGGGGGGGGGGGGATCATAACGGTCTCCGTTACAGTAGACAGGAAAAGCAATGGGTGAACTTTAAAGCCAAATGGCTGAGGGACGAAATGCAATTTTTTTTTTTATGGTATGAAATAAGTATTGGAGAAAGAAATAATCCTGATTTCCCATAAACTTGGATTTTTTTAAGTTGATGCTTAAATATGTGGAAAAGGGGCCTTATTGACAAGAAACCAAATTATTTCCTCTACTTTTCTCAATTATGTTTTTTCACTTAACTTGCAATGTTAAGAGTTTGGGTGAAAATAAATAATCTCTACTGAAAAGAAAAAAAAAATGAATATAAAAAGGACCTTCTGTAGTTTTGCAATGTGCTGAATGCCAGTTTAATATTCAACCTAAAGGCAGTCCATCCTGTTATAAACATTAGATCTTCTACATCTGTGTGGTTTCTTTGTGTTGTTTCTATGACTGTAATCAAGTTTGCCTCTACAGGAGTTTCTGCTCCATCACAAATTAAAAAGGTTTTGAAAGTTGACTTAACGTTCTAACACGCATAGCTTTTCTGGTTTTGTTGGTAAATAAATATCTGACATTGTACATGCAGCCACAAAGTCTCCAATAAACATTTACCAAGACTTTATTAAAGGCATTTGGATGGTTAACCAAAACAGGCTAATGCTAATGTGCCTCTCTCTGCTGATGCGGCTCTGAGGAATCATCCTGATCTCGCGAGCTTTCAAGGTTTCACTCGCTAATCAGTCTGGAGACTCTCCGTTAAAGAAAATTTGGAGCCGTTCACCAAACGAACGTCCAATCAGCGTTGGCTTTGAGGCGGGTTGAGGTGTGACGCAACGAGAAGCGCGACAGTTCAGTCTAAAGAACATGGCGGCTTCAGCCGATGAAACTAGCGTTAGCATGGCTATCGAGCAAGTTTTATCGGAATTACAGAGTATTTCTTTACTGAAAGAAGAGCAAAACACTGCTCTGGAGGCTTTTCTCAGAGGAAAAGATGTTTTTGCTCTTCTCCTGACTGGTTTCGGCAAGAGTTTGATCCATCAATTGGCTCCTCTTCGTCGTGGCTCTGTTAGTACGTCATATGCTTTGTGGATCTGATTGGTTTATTTGGCCCGTCTATCACCAACATAGGCCAATCAGCTAACCAGTATTTTCGCCCCTTCCCAAAATTACTTCTACGGAAGGTTTCCAGATGGATATGCGGAGCAAATTTAGGTTAAGGGGAAACAGGGTTTGGCAAAGTAACTTGTAAGGTCAATTTTTATTTGATTGTTTGGAGCTAAATAAACAATTAATTGTGAGATTATAGCTCCAGTTATGGCAAATTGCAGCTCCTGGTTGATGAGATCCCAGATCCAAATGAAACCTTTGAGTAACAGTGGGCCACCACAGAGGACCAAGCTGTGCCTGACTATGATTTTAAAAATGTTTTGTCTGGTGATCAACAGGAGGATCATGAGCGGGAAAAAGGAACTTGTGACTAAAATGGAAATTTCTGACTAAATTTTGACTCCTCCTAAGTACCAAAGTTTAAAAAGCCTCTAATTTGAGTTTTCAGAGAAGACAGATTGTCAAATGACACCTAGATAGAGCGCTGTCACTAAATTACAGTCAGAACCCTCCCCATCAACTTCAAGAAACACATTATCATAAAATCTACTTTAAAGTGGCAGCATGTGAAGAACCTCATAAATGCATCTCATTTAGCACTGGCAATCTCTTTGAATCATTTTATCTCATCGTAATTAGACTTGGGCTCCGCCGTTTCCAATCCCTTTCCTGGTTAGCTAAACAAGCCCCCTGCCAGCACAGTAATTAGGCCACAGTACTCTTCTTAGCTGCTCATCAAGTGAAGGATGTAAACACTTTGATGGGGGCCCTGACGCTTTAAATCAGATCAGAATGACCTGAGTCACAAATGGTTTATCAGTAATGATCAACAAACTGACTTTGGTACAGATCACAGCCTGCCAGCTCTTCGAATCAACGACTAAACACACTACATATTGCTCAAAAGATCATGGCTGACAACGTGAGAGAGCAGGCCAAAAGAAACATTTAGACTCAAACGGCAGTATTTTTAGGAGCAAAGCTCCTTCAGAAGGATCCAAATGCTTGGAGAGGATAAAGGCAAAGCAGCTCTTCTTTTAACTACATATATCCTTTTCTTTTTTACCTTTTCACAACTAAACAAGAACATGATGGTTAGAAGCATGCATGGAGCGCTTAACGGTATAGACCAGGGGTAATCAATTAAAAATCAGCCGGGTCAGTATAAAGAAAATCAACAACCAGTAAAGGTCTGGAGACATTTTTAATTATAAACTGTTACTTTAAATAGTATTTAACACTGAAATAGAATTATGTTTTATTCACCCATGTTATACAATGAATTTTTCCATTTTAAAATCTAGAAAAAACAAGAATTGTTCCGTTTGGTATATAATCAATTTCCTGATTCACATATTTTATGAAAAACCTGAACTGACTGTTTTCTGTTTGTTTCTTTTTCTGTCTAATGTTGGCAGTGGGCTTTAGGTTGCACTGCAAGGCTTTAAACCTGGGTTTGAACGGAGACTAAGCCATTCTCAAGCACATATCAAGGTGCTCATTTTGAGCCTGGATTCAGATTTATGTTTGATTCTGTTCATGGTGGAAAATCCTGCTTCACAGCAGCAGGTTGATAGCCTCGTGAGACCATCCTGATCTCGCGAGCTTTCAAGGTTTCACTCGCTAATCAGTCTGGAGACTCTCCGTTGAAGAAAATTTGGAGCCGTTCACCAAACGAACGTCCAATCAGCGTTGGCTTTGAGGCGGGTTGAGGTGTGACGCAACGAGAAGCGCCACAGTTCAGTCTAAAGAACATGGCGGCTTCAGCCGATGAAACTAGCGTTAGCGTGGCTATCGAGCAAGTTTTATCGGAATTACAGAGTATTTCTTCACTGAAAGAAGAGCAAAACACTGCTCTGGAGGCTTTTCTCAGAGGAAAAGATGTTTTTGCTCTTCTCCCGACTGGTTTCGGCAAGAGTTTGATCCATCAATTATCTTGTGCCTGGCTTGTGGTTGTGTTTTCGTCGTCGCTCTGTTAGTACGTCATATGCTTCGTTGATCTGATTGGTTTATTTGGCCCGTCTATCACCAACATAGGCCAATCAGCAAACCAGTATTTTCCCCCTTCCCAAAATTACTTCAACGGAAGGTTTCCAGATGGATATGCAGAGCAAATCCATCTGGCGGAGTCAGGTTAGCAGGTTGAGCCAAACATCCTCTAAATGTGCAGGGTCATCTTTAGGCACGCCATTTCACTTTTCTTTCACCAGTTCACTGCAGTTCTTCCAGCAGTCCACACTTTCTCTGCTCTCTTTTTCTCATCGTCTTCTCCTTCTTTCCCATCGCCCGGCTTGCCACAGGTTTGCCTGCTGTGTCTAAAAGTAGCAGCAGCAGCAACCCAGACTGACAGCTCATCGGCTCATTTGGATCACGTGCAGCCTGGAGCCGGACGCTCCGGAGGGCTTTACCGTATTAATAGGAGAAGCGGTGCAAGTGAAATTAGACACTGTTGTCAGACAACATTGGGTAATTTATGAATGTTTTAAATCAGGTTGGGTCCGGATTAGCCAGCAGGTGGATCCGGATCTGGACCGCGGTCCATTAATCCGTGACCTCTGGCACAGAGGTACATGGAGAATGCAGTGCTGACAAAAAAAATAAAAAATATCTGTCTTTTATTAAGCGCATAAAGGCAGGAAAAATACATTTGCTCAATCAGCACTTGAATACATAAAATGTGCCGTTATTTAATCTCCAGTTTACTTAAGGGCATGTATCCAAACCAAGCCTGGTGGATAACATCTCGACTGTCTAATACGCTGAACTTTTTTACAACAGCATGAATATTTGCTCCCTTTCAGTTAAGAGCAATCAGGACATTTGTTCCAAATCTTTATGCAAAAACCATCAAACTCTGGTATTTTTTTCTTACGTTCCTCTTATTGTGAGAATCACCTGCAGGCTTATAAACAGAGCAACATATTTATTTATTGATTTTTTTTTTTTTACATTTAAAGGGAGGAAAAGGAATCATGTTTTTCGGACACTTCAAACAAACTTCCACTTGTGACGCATCTAATCCTGCTGAGCATGTCGGTACCGCTGGCGGGAGAGTTGAGTCCTCCACTTACTGCCAGATATAAAACCAGGCAGCCATAATTAAAATTACAACGTACTCAGAACAGCACGCGTTCACCGAACGAGAGATCAGAGCATAGAGAACATGAAAGAGTTAAATTATTGATCACTGGACGTGTAAAATGATCACCATCAGCATGTGGTGATTAATACCTGGGCATGCTAAAAAGTGAGACAGAGCCTTCTTATTACAGGAAAGTATGCAAAAGGAGATGAGGGGAAATGGAGCTGGAGGGGATGATTGTCTCACAGGAAAGAGCCAAAACGTGGCCGCTGGACTGGAGAAAACAGAAGGCTGCAAACAGCAAGAAAGAACTAGAGAAAAATCAGCAAAAAAAAAGGAAGAAGTCAGCCAGAGGGGAAACAGTGAGGAGGAGTAAATAAGGGAGAAATCCGACTGGGGGAAAAAAGAACAAGAGGATTCAACTAAAGTTGGGAGGGGCATTTAAGTCGGAGTGAGACGGCGAGTGC